ATTTTAATTACATCCACATAGCCATTTCTTAGGTCTGGTATCATCAATGCAGAAAAAGTACTTTTTTGTGAGGCAACAGGAAATTAACAGCACTGATATGAAATATGGCAAATCCAATGGTTGTCAGCATTGCTTTAGGAATTTTCAGACATTTAGGTGAATAAAACTATACCATAATTAAAAGAAAAAGTATTATTGTCCTCTTTTCAGAAGACTGACAAGTTCTTAAGTTTTTTTTTTATATTCTGCAGAACAGCAAGAACTTCTAGACTTCCTTCAAATGTTTTAAGGTTGAAAATTATATTAGTTGGATTTTAGCCTCAATGAATGAAATTTCAAAAGTATTTAACTGATAAAAAGCCACAAAATTTGGGTTAGGGATTATAATTTTTATAAATATAATTATCAAAATACATGCCTTCAGACACATAATTACTGAAAATTCATTTTTACCTCTTTCTCGATAATACCTGGCAGTTCACACCTCGCTTCCATAGTACTCATAGAAAGAAATTTGTGAATGATGAAAACAGAAGTTTCCTATTCCAAGGACTGGTCTTCTTCCCTTTTTAAACTCATCAGGCTCTCATGTGTCCAAAATGTTGAAAACCACACACATCCAAGCACAGTCTCATCCCAGAGGGACACACACTCCTAAACTGTCACATCTTTGAAGATACAGGAGCTGGGAGAACACAAATGTCCCCTCTCATCATGTGACATTACTATTTTTGTATGTATAGTAGTCAGGTTTGCTTCATGACATTATCAGGATAAAATAAAGGGTTAGATTTTGATCTTCTGTCAGGCTATCAAGAGAATTACACATTGATTGGAATCTGGCCTAAAATAATTAGGCTTTTTATTTATAATTCCCTTTCAAAAGTTGTCATTTGACAATAGTTTCAAACTATAACAGTAGGTAAAAAAAAATGAGGTGCCATGCTATATTAATTAAAATATTCCAAGATAAAAGTACAAACCTGAAAATAACTTCAGTGCTATAGACATTTAGAAAGTTACAATTATTAAAACTCTGAATAAAAAGGTCTTGTGAACAGGTACATCTCAAAATAATATTTTACACACTTTGGGGAAAACGCATATTTCAAGTAACTTGAAGGATGACTCACAGATTCCACACCATCTCTTAAGTTTCTCTGCCCCTGCAGTGCGGTTTTGCTTTGGAGCCTCTCATGTCCGGCTTACGGGTAGGGGTTCCTCCACGCTGAAAACAGACTGCTTGCGCATCAGTTTTCTGTACACCCCATCCGGCTTTGAAAGCAGTTCTTTGTGTTCCCCACATTCGATAATTCTGCCCTGGTCGAGAACAGCCACCAGGTTGGCATTCTTCACGGTGGACAGGCGATGGGCGATGACCAGCACTGTCCTTCCTTCGGCAAGCCGGTCTAGCGCTTCCTGCACGAGGTGCTCATTCTCAGCATCCAGCGCACTGAGACCCGAAACGGCGCGAGAAAGCAAAGGCGTCAGTGCTGAGCCTGCTGTACACCCGTGCGTCCGGTTCCCAACAGTGGCCCCTTATTTTAATTGCGCCCTCTTGGGTCTCCTATCTATGTTTCATCTTGTAACGATAATATAAAAAGGAGCTTGGGACGTATGACTGCACAGAACTACTGTCACATAAGCGAAGAGCATTCTGCACACAGCTGATTAGAGGGACTAGGGGCTTCATCACAGATGCATTTGAATTGGAACCAGAACCTTAACTCATGGCTCTGCCTGTCCACTGCTCCCAGCTGCCATTATTAATTCAGACTCAGTCACTTTAAAGTGTAAGGGGAAAGGTATTTTCAGCTGTATCACTGTGAAGTACACAGAATAATAAGTCTTCCGTAAAGGAAGAATTTAATACATTTACACATAGTATTAAGATAGTCTCACCTGGTTGCTTCATCTAGGAGAAGAATTTTGGGATTCTGAGGAAGGAAAAAACATCAAAAAAATTTTTATTAGAAAACACAAACTCTCAGTAATAAAAATAAATGAAGTGTTGATTATGCTACAACATGCATGAACCTCAAAAACATTCTGCTAAGTGAAGAAATCAGGCACAAAATGCTACAGATTACACGACTCCATTTGTAGTAAATGTCCAGAGCAAGCGCATTTAGAGAGACAGAAAGTCGGTTTGGGGTTACCTGGGGCTGGGATCAATGGGGAAAAAGGGAGGGCTGCGTGTGTGTGGCAGCTAAAGGGTATAGTCTCTTTCTGGGGTGATGAAAGGTTCTAAAATTGATTATGGTGATGGGTACACACCACCGAATACACCAAAACCCATTGAATTATACACTTTTCATGGGTGATTGTATAGTATGTGAATTATATCACAATAAAGCTGCTACAAGAAAACCACAAACTCATAAGGGTCTGAGACAAGCACATAATTGGAAGAGTTAGATGATTTTAAGCCATCATCACAGCAATCACTGGACTGGATATTGTTCATATGCAGTTTTATCCTGCTGGCCAATCAATTAGCAGTACGAGGTGGGGTGTGAAGTAAGATAGAGCCTAGAGTCAAGCACCTGCTTATAATTTATTAAGAGTGTCACATAAAACTGAGATACAGGCTACAACCCAGGGGACCCTCAAAAGCAATATGCTAGTGGAAGAGGCCCCATGCAAAAGGCCATATTTCGTCTGATTCCATTTCTCTGAAACATCCAGAAAGGTGAATGTAGACAGACTGAAAGCAGGTTAGTGTTGGCCCTGGGCTGGGAGAATGGGGGAACAGCTTTAAGTGGGTAAAAGGGATCTTACCCGCGTGATAGAAATTTAGGGTTCTAAAATTAAATTAGTGTGATGGTTGAATAACTATAAATTTACTAAAAGTCCCTGAAAAGTACATTTAAAACTGGTGAATTTTATGGTATGTAAGTTACGTTTCAATAAAGCTGCTTTTTAAAAAAAAAACACCTATAAATCTAAGGAGAGTAGTTACATCACAAAGGGGAAGACTGTCATTTCCGAAAATCATGTCTGATTGTCAGCCAGAATGGCCTCCCCTCTCCTCAGGAGTCTCGCAGAAGGATCCTCAGTGTAGCAGTTCATTGTAGACTGCACAGAAACATGCTTTATTCTTGTGATATGTTGACAGAATCACTGTCTCACCAGTTAGACTGCATGCTTCTTGATGGGAGGTCCATGTGTTAAACTTTTCTTCCTCTGACAACCCTAGCAGAGCACTGGTCTCCTACTGCCTGAGAAATGCTCGTGAACATTGGATGACATGCTCTCAGTTGGACCCCTCAGTAGTCTTTCACCAACTGTAAACCATTTATCACCCTCCCCCTCCAAAAAACAGAAAGAAGAAAAGTGGTCAATTCCAAATTACAAGGTGTCTAATGAAAACCAGTAACAACAGCCCCCACCGTATGGCTTCAGGCTTACCTTAAGCAGAGCACGGGCAATTGCAATCCGCTGTTTCTGCCCACCTGACAACGACAATGACAATGACAGTGTTTTGTTAAGAACTGAAAGCCTTGGCCAAAATTCCTGGTAACAGGCTTTGTGACAAGCCATGTGGCAATCTGGAGGTAACTTTTTCCAGTTAGTCACAGCTATGATAGATGGTAGAAGAGAAACCTATTTTTAAGTAGATGTCTCCTCATTAACCTCAAAATGAATAATGACACTTATCGCAGCTAACACTTATTGAGGAGGTCTTATGTACCAGGCATTTTCTAAACGCATTACCCATATTATCTCATTTAATCTTAAAAATTCTATGAAGTAGATCCTATAATTATGCCCTCTTTATAGACACAAAACGGAGGCATGAAATAACCTGTGCAGTAGGTCACAGCTGGTAAGAGGAGAGCCGAGGTCTGAACGTGTACGGTCACAGGCTGCGCTTCTAACCCCTACATGTACTGTCTCCCTTGTACAATCTCCAATGCAGCACAGAGACCAGAATCTCAAGGAACGCAGAGGTTCTGAGCAGCACATGAAGTGTGTGGGGCACAGGGCATCGGTGACGCTGGGTGAGAGCACTGCTGTCCCCGCTCAGAGTGCTACTCCTAATGCCTCCCATTGTTCTCATCTCTTCCTGCCAGGAAAGAACTGGCACAGACAGCAGTCTGTGTGCACATGTGGAAGTGGAGGTACAAAACAGAGTAAGCACTCAGATGCTCCCATTTTAAAACTAAAATCCTACTAAAAGCAAAGGAACCAAGTGGGGGGTAGGAGTGGGGGAAACACGGACAGGACAGCAGGCGGTACGCAGGAAACCTGGGAGAGTTTTCCCTTCCTTGTCTGTCTTGCACCACCCTCCTTGCATCCGAGGGACACAACTCCTAATTACAGCTGGTGACATCTTAGAGGGCAGTCCTCAGGACTCACTCCCCCCAACTTACTACATTACAGAAAACTCAGTTTCATTTTTGGTGATGAAAACGTTCCTTCTGGGTTGATTTCACTGGCTAAAATTACTTACCACACTAATGACTGGACATTACATTCCTTCACCTAAAAGAAGCTCATCATTGAGTGAAGTGTGGGGTGCTGCTGGAGGCTGCCCACAGCCAGGCCCCTGTGCTCAGAGCGCAGCGGCCGAGCCTGCTTTCCCAAACCTCCCTGACTGTGAGGCTGGCCAGTCAGCACAACAGCCAACAGGGCCTTCGGTCAGCTCCACGGCCAGTCCCTCGGAGCCCATCTCAATGCCCATCGGTGCACTGGGACTCTTACAGACGTCCCTGCCCACTGTCCCCCAGGAAGTGAGTGTGGATTGAAACCTTTGCTTATTTCACTCTGAAGTGTGGCGTGAGGCTCCTGGTTGGGGGCAGGGAGGCAGACTCTGCTCCCAGGGGGAGGCTGACATGCGCAGGGGACAGGGTGCAGGCAGCCCCCACCCCCACGCCTTGATGCTGTCCTTCCACCCTGAGAAGACTGAGCTGGTTCTCTGCTGAAGACATGGTTCAGATAGCAGGAGCAGTTCATGTAACAAAGCAATGTGTGACTCTACTCCTGGACTGCCCAAATCTAACAAAAGCATGTTTTCATCTACTGCCTATAGTTTTATGAAATCATACACAATAAACTTAAAACATTGTGTTAAATTTTCTGTGGTAAAACTTCAAGTGCAAAGTTTAGTGCTGGAAAGGACTATTTATTGCTCTAGTCCCATCTGGCAGCCTCCATTGTGACATGGGGGTGTCATCCTCTGCTCAGACACTGCCCCCGACAGAGAGCTCACTGCTGTGGAAGGGAGCACATTTCAGTATTTGTCATGAAAGAAAATCTGTTTTTAACCAGATAAAAATTTATTTCCCTTTAGATTCTACTCATTGGTCCCATTTCCGCACTCTTGAGTCAGTTTTCTTTTTCTCCTAAAAGCCTGGTGCCCAGTGTGATACGACAGGCTGGGTGTGCTTGTCATCTCAGGAACAGTGAGGCCTGGCACTGTGTCCCCTCATTCGTCTGGGACTGGACCTATCTGTGCATGGCCCTCAAGCTAGGAATGGCTTTTACATTATACATGGGCTGTTCGAAAAACCTACAAAGAACAATGCTATGTGCCCATAAAAGCTAAAATATTGATCTACTCTCTGGCCCTTCATAGAACGAGTGGCCGGCCCCGGTCTGACATGCACATGACAGTGCAGTACTCAGTGGGGCACTCGGGAACTGGGCAAGCAAGCGAGGGGCCCCGAGGAGCTATCCATACACAAGCGAGGTTTCAGAAAGTGGAAGAAAGTCTAATTTCATGGCCTCTCAGCACTGAGGCCCAATTAAAAACGATGCTGCAGCACAAGGCCCGGAACTTCCCAGAGCAGAGCCGGCCCCAAACAGCACGACAAGGTACCTGAGAGGAGAACGCCCTTCTCTCCAACCACGGTGTTGAACCCCTGTGGGAAACTGCGGATGAAGGCGGCTGCGTTGGCCACATCAGCTACCTGCTCCACCTGTGTGGCAGTCACCAAGGAAGGGTTGTCTGCGCCATAAGCAATGTTCTCAGCGATGGAGCAGGAAAACAAAACTGGTTCCTACACATCGGAAATAAAACATACTTACTACAAATTTCAAAAGAGACTTCAAACATGTGCAGTAAACAGTGGAGCTCAGTCTAGTACTCAGACCTAAGAAAGTACCAAGTTGCTCCTTGGCTCCTCTTCCTCATTGTCCATGAATTCACCCAGCAGACATTTAGAAATTTGTGTCTTACCATAAATGGGAGTGGTTTTATCACCTGTAGTTCCTGCCACACTGCAGGAGATTAGAGCACACAGCAAGTGTCTGCATGGCGCCTGGCACACAGTAGGCACTTCATAAATGCACGTTCCCCTTCCTTGGGAATCGTGAGGCACTGGGAGACACCAGCCCATCCGAATTTTTCAGGTGCCTGCCTTCCACTAAGGACAGATAGGGACTCCATCTCTATCCACTACTTTCCCAAATGCACGCAAACCAGATAGAAACATGACATTCTGACAGAATTCTGTGGAATGATCCTGAACTCCCAGCTTGTTCTGTCTATCCCATAAGTAACATGCATGCTGATACCCTCACACTGCCAAGCAACCTCCCCGCTACCGCCCGCCTGCCCCTGCCCACTGGGCAGGCTGAGGACAAGGTCTGAGGGGAAGCTGACTAGAGGCAGAGGCCCAGGTTTGACTGCTGTGCATGTAGCCCAGTAACCAAAATATAAACAGCTGTGTCAAAATGTCCCCGCACCATGTGGCTTTAGGAAAACAGCCTCATCAAAGTGGCCATGTTACCTTATACTCGCCTTGAAACCTGCCACATCTTTGCAAAGGCACCCTGGCTCTTCCCACAATCTTTGCTCATCTCTGAAACCCTTTATGCAAAACAGTAGACTGTGGCTGGTAATAAAAAAGGGAATTGGGGAAGAGTTAGTAGAAACTAAAATGTCATATCCTGTTCTCTACATTACAAAGCTGTGTCAGTGCTAGCTTTTGATAAAAAGTCCATGGTCCCACTGGTTAAAGCGGTTAAGGTCTTGAAGAAACAGCGCTCTTCCCAAACCTCAACAACCTGCCACGTGCGAACAGGGTAATACACCTGGACCACTCTCACACCTCCTCTTTTGAGAGGTTCAACACCAAGCAAAAAGCAAATGACAAAAGCAATTTTAAAAGAAAGTGGAATAAAAATAGACCCCTCTCCTCCTACCTGGCTCACTGTCCCAATCTTGGATCTCAGCCAGACTGGATTTAGCTGGCGGATATCCTGGCCATCGAGATGGACAGATCCTTGTAGAGAGGAAAGGAAAGGGTCACTGAGCATCACGGGGCCAGTGACTAATGTAAACCAGAAAACTCCAGACTCAGTTTTTTAAAGATTAGAAGCATACTCAAAACCTCCAAACAGAATGTAAACCCAACACTTTTCATGGAATTTCAGAGCTAGAGGGGCTGTTGTGGCTGGCCCATATCGCTGTCCCCTGCCGTGCTGAGCTGACCTGCCCACCCAGGGCCCTGGGAGAAGGTGTACACAGCTTTGTGCACACCGCTGATTCAGAAGGGTCACGTGGGAGAGCGGCAAGCCGTGAGGTGTCCCCTTGCACAAACACTGGCAGAGGTGACACACTTTTGAAGCTGGCACCCAGGACAGTGGCTGCCTAATTCAGCAGCTTCCTGACCATGTCAGTGTCAGCAGCTGCCTTGAAGGGTCAGCTCTGCGGTGAAATTCTGGGATGCATCCCGGAAGCTCAACCCTCCAGTGATTTTGGAGCTCTCTTCTTACTCCTTAAAGGACCCCTTCTTGCACAGGCTTTGCTGGAGGAGAGTGTGTTACCTGAAGCTAAGAATCTGGTGAAGACTATGGCAGAAGTTTAAACAATCAGATGTAACTCCGGCCTTAGCTAACAGAATTAATTCTACACGTGAGGGAACCCAGTCATGCTTGTTGATGATGACGATGGTGACTGACATAGCAGCACCATTCCTTCTCAGTCAGTAGGGTGTAATTATGCCAGCCAGCTATAAACTTTCAGAGGCTGGAAAAGCCTCAGGTCCTTGAACACTTAAAAAAATACAAGTGCTCTATGGACTACATGAGGCAGGAATTGAAGCTTAGCTCCTTTTCTCTTTGATTTATTCACTGTGAGGAACTAGAGGCAACATTTTGACTTGATTGGCAACACCTAACTAGGATTTTTCTAAACTCAGAATTTTATAGCAAGTAGAGAATGAATTGGGACAAACAGTGTACCAACACCTGTTTTAACAGCTATGACTCTTTGGGCCAGGATCTGCAGCTCAAAAAATTATCTGGCATCTGACCAGCTCCCACATTGTTTTAAACAAAAAATACAGATACAAAGACCACAAGACACACTGTTTTTAAATTCATGATTTGATTTTTACTAACAGTTGTTTTCTTCCTGAAAAACATCACAGTTTTCTCAATCCAAAATTAAATCAATATAGAGTATCTAGGACCGGCCAAGTGGCTCAGTTGGTTAAGAGCTTGCTCAAGAGTGTGAGCTCTGAGTAACAGGGCCGCTAGTTCGATTCCCACATGGGCCAGTGAGCTGTGCCTGAGCTGAGCTGCCACTGAGCTGCCAACAGGTAGCAGGATGGCTCAGCTGGTGAGAGCACATGCTCCTAACAACAAGGTTGCCTGTTCGAGATGGTGGGCTACACTCGCCCACAACTAAAGACTGAACTCAGCACCTTGAGCTGAGCTGCTGCCAGGGGGGGCTCAGGGAATAGAGCATGCGTTCTTAACAACAAGGCCTCCGGTTGGACTCCGCATGGGATGGTGGCTGCGCCCACCCACAACTAAGACTGAACTCAGCACCTTGAGCGGAGCTGCTGCCCACATGGCTCAGTGGCCAGAGCAGGCATTCTTTTTTTTTTTTTAAAGATTTTTATTGGGGAATTGGGGGTATGGGAACAGTGCTGGGGAATTGGGGGAAGGGGAACAGACAAGTTGCTGTCGTTTTGTTCTTCAATCTAGTTGTGGAGGATGTTGCTTCACTGGCCCAAGTTGGCACCATCATTGCGCTCTTCTCTGGCGAGGCAGATCAGTCGCCGGCTTCTGGACGGCCGCTCACTGCGGCTGCTGGCCGCTCACACTGGCTGCTGGCCGCTCACGCTGGCTGCTGGCCACACACGGTAGCCCATGGCAATCCACTGCCACAGGGACTGCAGCCCACGCCGTCGCCGGCGACTCACGGCAGCCCAGCTCCAGGTTGAGCTGTTGTTCAGCATCTTAGCTGTGGAGGGCAGTGTCACTGGCCCTCATATGTGGGATCCGAACCGGGGCCCTCTGGCATCCCAAGCGAGTTCTTAACCATCGCGCCACTCGGCCGGCCCCAGAGCAGGCACTCTTAACAATGAGGCTGCTGGTTCAACTCTCGCATGGGATGGTGGCTACGCCCACCACAACTAAGTGAACACAGCTCCTTGAGCTGAGCAGCACAACTGGACTTGGAGCTGAGCTTGCTGTGCCCTCCACAACTAAGATTGAAGGACAACAACTTGGCTGTTCCCCTCCCTCAATTCTCCAATAAAACCTTTAATACACACACACACACACACACACACACACACACACACACACACACACAGTATCTACTCCAGGCTCTGATATGAAGAAGAATATAAATTTTGTAACTATGTGTGGGGATGGATGCGAACTCGACATATTGTGATCACTTTGCAATATATACAATTATTGCATATCTGAAAAGAATATAACGTTTTATGTCAATTATATCTCAATAAAAAGGGACATAAAGTAAAATAATGTTGTGCTCTTCACTTTAAAGATGCTATGGTCCGGATAAAAATAAAATAAAAACCACAACAAAACTCCGTTCAGAAAACGCCTGCTTCCCCCAGGAGCGTCAGTGTGGCGGCCACAGGGAAGGGCTCAGAGGCTGACCACCCCGTCTGCTCATTCCCCAGCAGCTCCCCAGGCGCGCCCCAGGGCCCCGGCCCCACTGTGCTGCTGGGGGCAGCGGTGCTTGCAGCAGCTGAGTGACCTCGCTCACCCCTCTCCCACTGGAGGCATCAGGAGATCCTGGCATGAGGAGGAGAAAGGACAATTCAGGAAGCTACTCGGCACATGAAGAGCTCAGGCCTGAAATACGCCAAATGCCAGCCGGGCCTTCTGTGTGAGCTGCCATGCCCCCCAAGGTGACGACTTTGTTGAAGGGCTTTGTCTCCTGGGAACAAATGCCCTGACATTCGGAAGCCCACACTGCAAGCGCTGCGTAATCGCATCCTCTCCAGGGCACAGCTCAAGGGCTTGGGAGACTCCAGCACTATAAAGTGGGGGCTACTCACCAGAAATGGGGTCGTACAGCCTCAGCAGCAAGGACACCACTGTGGACTTGCCAGAGCCACTGGGGCCAACCAGCGCTGTGACCGAGCCTGATGGGATGGAAAGGCTGAAGTCCCGGAATATGGGTACCTCTGGGCGAGCTGGGTAGGCGAAATGCACATTCTTGAACTGCAAAGCACCCTGGAAGCGCTTCTCGTTTAAGATGAGCCCCTCTGAAACATAAGGTGGATATCAATTACTTAACACAACGACCAAACTCACAGCAGAAGTCACTTCCCACGGGTCTGGCTGGCCCAGGGCTGGGAGCTCGTATTGGGCAGTCAGGAAGAGGCCTCCACTGGTCACCCACTGTCCAAGGTCTTGAGATGGAGACACAACTGTGCCAGCTTTACTGACAGGACCCTGAGGCTCAGGGCCACCAACCTGCTCAAGCTAACGAGTGTGCAGTTAGCTCCCCCCCGCCACTGCTTCTGCAGCCCCCTCAGTCCCGGGTTTGCCTTGCCTACTTGAAATCCATGTTTTAAGAGTGAGGATAAATGGGAGCGTTGCACAACAGCCATAGAGCCAGCGGGGGTCAGGAGTCCTGCTATTGCAACTAACCTGGGAGAAGCTGCCAGTCTCTCACCACTGGGCTCACCTGCAGTCTATGATGCTGGAGAGCACAGGCATTCACTTACTGACCTGGGGGACAGTGAGTGCTTACTGCTCACAGCCACTTCCGAGCCCAGGCCACACGGCTGCCCCCGAGTACTGCTTCCAGGGATACAGGTGATGGAGGACACAGCTCTGGACAAGTAGCAGCAGCATGTGCCCCCCACACCCAAAGCCAAAGGCTTTTATATGTATGATGCCTCTTCCTTTCCTCCCACCCTGCACTCAGACATCATCAAAAATGCTATGGAAGAGAAACCTGGAGGGCTGACTGGGCCCTTCCCACGGATGTGCCTGGGCTGCACTCGCCACCACCCTGATGGAGGCAAAGCCGGTGGGCGGCATGCCACGTGGTCAGCCCCCGGCTTGCAAGGTCATCCTAGGCCCTCTGGCGACCGTCCTTCCTCTTACTGCCTGCCCTCCGATGACCCTGTCCCTGCCATGTGGCACGGACGTCCTTGTCATGCTCACCCCTCACAGATAGGACAGGGAGTTGGCCTAACTGTGCAATGCGACCTTTGTTTAATCCCAGTGAAGAAGAACAAATGCATTTCAGACGCACCATTAAAAGGAAGCTGCGGCTTTCTCTCCAGGAGCTCCCAGAGGCGCCCTCCTGCACCTAGGCCTTTCATCAGCTCCGAGTAGAAAGAGCTCAGACCTGAGGGCGAGAAGGAACATCCGTCACCAGAACCAGGCAACGCCCCTCTGCTACTGCCATCCATCTGGGAACAGCAACAACTGGCTTTAATATTGATAGAAAACCTGTTATTTGCAAAAAAGGATTTGAGGCAGCTGCCTGGGAACCCATGTTCAGAATCCCTGCCCCTTGCTCTCCTTCAGCGTCTCCTCCTCCGATTTCACTGATTTTTATTATAATAAGAATTCAATGTTTCATCGGGGAATTTACAAATACATGTGGCCATACCAATCAACCACTGATGAAAATCACAGTTACAGAGAAAGTCTACCTACTCAAAAACATAGCAATGTAAATAAAATAGAGTGCTTATCCCGTACTACAAAGGAATATGAAATATCCCAATATCCATTTTAAATTCATAGCCTCAAAAATACAAACCTCCCTTTCAGGCACTCAAAAATTCAACTTTTACTAAGCTAAAAACTGAAAAAAAAACTGGGAATGTTAAATATTCCAACAATCTCTTCTTAAAGTCACCTTTGTCCCATCTAGTAGGTTGCCTTTTTGTTTTGTTGATGGTTTCCCTTGCTGTGTAGAAACTTTTAAATTTGATGTGGTCCCATTTGTTTATTTTTTCCTTTGTTGCCCTTGCCCAGGGAGACATATCCGAAAAAAAATTACCAAGACTGATGCCAGAGAATTTACTGCCTATTTTCTTCTAGAAGTTTTAGTTTCAGGTATTGCATTTAAGTCTTTAACACATTTTGAATTTATTTTTGTATATGGAGTAAGAGTGACCCAGATTCGGGGTTTTTTGCATCCAGTTTCCCCAACACCATTTACTGAAGAGACTGTCTTGACCCCACTGTATATTCCTGCCTCCTTTGTCATAGACTAATTAACCATATAGGCGTGGGTTTAATTCTCAGCTTTCTGACCTGAATTTCTCCAAGGAAGACACACAGATGGCCAACAGACATACAAAAAGATGCTCATCACCACTCATCATCAGGGAAATGCAAATCCAAACCACAGTGAGATGTCACCTCACTCCTATCAGGATGGCCATCATCAAAAAGTCGACAAATAAGTGTTGGTGAAGATGTGGAAGAAAGGGAACCCTCATGCACTGTTGGTGGGACTGTAAACTGGTGCAGCCACCGTGGAAATCAGTACGCAGGGTCCTCAAAAAATTAAAATCAGAACTTCCTTATGACCCAGCAAGTCCACTTCCGGGTATTTATCCAAAGGAAATGAGAATACTAATTTGAAAAGATATCTGCACCCCTATGTTCACTGCAGCATTATTTATAATAACCATGATATGGAAGCAACCTAAGTGCCCATCGATGGATGAATGGATAAAGAAGATGTGGTACATACACATAGAATGAAATATTACTCTGCCATAAGAAAGAGTAAAATCTTACCATTTGTGACAACAAGGATGGACCTAGAGGATATAATGTTAAGTGTAGTAAGTCACATAGAGAAATACAAATACTATATAACTTCATTTATATGTGGAATCTAAAACAAACAAACAAACAAAAAACAGAAACAGACTCATAGATACAGAGAACATTTTGATGGTTGCCAGGTGGGAGAAGAGTGGGGGATGGGTGGAAACGGGGAAGGGCAATAAGAGATGCAAACTTCCAGTTATAAAATAAGTCATGAGGATATAATGTACAGCACAGGGTATATAGTCAGTGATATGGTATTAACTTTGTATGATCACAGATGGTTACCAGACATAGTTTTGTGATCACACTGTAAAGTACATAAACGCAGTCACTATGTTGTACACCTGAAACTAATATAACATTGTATATCAACTGCACTTTAATAAAAAGTCATCTTTGAACTAATTAATTAATCAGAATTACATAATTAATGATTTCCTTAACGACTTAAAACAAACTCCAAGTACACTGGTTCTTCTCAACTGTCAGAACATAGACTTGTAACACTGTCCCTTAGTAAGGATGCTGGAAAAATGCAATTCATGTGTTCTTTCTACGGTACATTTGTGTGTGGATCTGTGTATATTTGTGCAAGATACAGTGGATTAAAACTTTCAGGCTGAATTAGAAATTCATTGGGCAGAAATAGACCCAACACAGTCAACTGATCTTTGACAAAGGGGCAAAGGCAATTCAGTGGAGAGAGGACAGTCTTTCCAATAGATGGTGCCAGAGAACTGGACATCTCCATGCAAAAGATGGGTCTACACAGAATAAACTCAAAATGAACTATAGACCTAAGTGTAAAATGCAAAACTATAAAACTTCTAGAAGAAAACTTAAATGACTTTGGGTTCAGCGATGACTTTTTAAATATAATACCAAAAGGACAACCCGTGAAAGAAAACATTGGTAAGTTAGACTTCATTAAAATTAAAAACTTCTGCTCTGAGAAGAGAATAAGACAAGCCACAGATTGTAAGAAAAGCTTTGCAAAACACTTATCTGATAAAGGACTGTTATCCAAAATATACAGAGCTCTAAAAAATCAACAATAAGAAAACAACTAACCCAATTAAAAAATGGACAAAAGATCTGACAGACACCTCACCAAAGAAGATAAACGATGGTACATAGCATATGAAAAGATGTCATTAGAGAACTACAAATTATAACAATGAGATACACTACAACACACCCACTAGAATGGCTCAAATCCTAAGATCCGGAGCACTGACCACACATGCTGGCGAGGACATGGAGCAGCAGGAGCCCTCAGGCATCGCTGGTGGGGACGCACATGGTGCAGCTGCTTCGGAAGACAGTCTGGCAGTTCTTATAACACTAAACATTCTCTTATCATGCGCTCCAGCACTCACGCTTCTTGATATTTACCCAAAGGCGTTCAAAACTCATGTCCACTCAAAAACCTGCACACAGGGCCAGCCAAGTGG